ATCATACCATAATTAAATGCATCCTAACCATAAGCAGGAGGAAAAAGACTCATAAACACTACTGCATCCCCCACCACACTGATCCAAGTAAAAAAGTGAGATTTGTTGTATACTATACTAAATTTAATACCACCAACCTACTTGTCAAAAATAGTTCTTCTCTGTCAACTAACATCTAACAAAAGGCCAACATTGTATATCAATTTAGATATCCTTTAGGAGATTGCATCTCTGATAAAAATGTTAATATGTATGTTGTTTTTACAATGACAATGCTGACAAGAAGGCTTACATTTTCTCTTGCATGAGCATAGTTCAATCTTACAGCATTTAAAGGAACACTCATGCCCACATTCACAGTTGAATTAGTTGAAAATACATCTATATTACACCAAAATAATAAGCAAAAACTTAAAATCCTAGAAGCACTTTATATAAGAGAATTAAATCCCAAAATAAATAAAGTCATTTATGAGTATAGCAATAAAGTCCTTAAATGTTTGTATCAGCAAAGTTTATATATATATATATATATATATATATATATATATATAGATAGATAGATAGATAGATAGATAGATAGATATGTGTGTGTGTGTGTGTGTGTGTGTGTACCAGGTATAACAGCAAAATTGTCCAAATCTTGTAACAGCATAGGATAACTGTTCATCCCACAAAATGTTTAATATCTAAAAAAAACCCTTTGAACTAATTGAGTTTCTTTTTTCTAGGTTTTCAGGTAAAACATTTAGCCATCTTGACACCATTTGTTGTAAGAATCACTGAAAAACCCTTTGAGTTATTCAGTTAGAAAGAGAACAGGTTAAAATCGTTTGTGTCAGCCACTCTATGTCTTCCTGACTGAGCAATGGGGAGAGGAAAAAATCATTCAGGCTTTCAGTAATGGTACCGACATTTATACTCTGGCTTCCATCTTCAAAGTCCATTCAAGAACCATCAAGAGAACGGTGCATAAGTTTAAAAAAGAGGGAACACTAGAGAGGAAAACTGGATCAGGAGGTCACAACAGCAAAATTTCAACACTAGACCTGGCTTCTTTAATATTTCCTCTTTTCTAGCAAGATTAATGCTCGACAAATGTACATATAAGTTTTAGATCAAAATAAAATTCTTTCCGTTTTTCATTCAAAATACTCAAATTTTAGGAATACGTTTTCACAACATCGCCCACGTGATGACGACGTGATCATATTTAAACGGAACGCTGATCTTATAAAAGATTTCAGTTATCTGTTTGGATTGGTCTCGCTTTTATGTCCATCGTCTTTTTCATGTTGAATTGAATATGGTCTATGTTAATTATGTTTTATGAATATGTCCTGAAGATGGTCTATTAGACCGAAACATCTGATGTTGACATTATATCACCAAGTCGCTTCATCCAGAGCATTCGAAGCTAGTTCAAGCAAGGATATACAAGTATATCCTTGCTTGAACCAGGTAGTATTTCGTGGCTCATGGGGGCACAGTCCTATGGGTAAAAAAGAAACTTGGATGAGTTCTATCACGGAATATGTGATTGAGCAGTGCTATATCGAGTCTGATTCACTACCTCTTTGTCATCGAGGCCCATTGGAACAGTTTGTATGACACTTGCCTGATAACGTAACTGTCCAGGTTTCAATTCTTGGTAGTGGATGCGCACTTCTTATGATTCCCAAATATAGGAAGAAACGACCATCCAGTGCTTTCAGCATTCTGTTGAGTTTTCTTCTAGAAGAGATCTAGACTTGATGAATTACTTAATTATAATTATCTCAAATCCTCCTATTTTCTATCACTTTATATATATATATATATATATATATATATATATAAACTTAAAAAATCAGGAGATCAGTTAAATCCACTAGCTTGGTTTGAACTTATGGTATCCTCAGGTGATTTTTATCAAATGACCTCTCAATGGTTTATTTTTAAAAAACTAATGAATACTATATTATTTCTGACAAAACTAAATAAAGGCATGACGTTGGGTGTGATAGAAAGGGAGGAAAAGGATGTGAAGAAGGAAGAAGAAGGAGGAGGAGGAGAAGAAGGAGGAGGAGAAGAAGGAGTAAGAGAAGAAAAGCAAGGTTATTATAAATGTATTGGTGGGGCTTTAATTGAAATGTACTTTTTTTTTTTAACCAGTCTCATATATGTTTAAGAGGTAATTTTTAATATGTATTCAAAGACTCAAGACTTTGGATTTCTGGTACAAGAAGTTATTTGGATCTGGAAATATTATTATAGCTAATTTTACCTGTTGGCAGAGGTTGCAAATAATGTTTTGAGATGTTTATTTTGCTAAAGTATCATAATTCTTATCATTGATAATTTAATTGAATTTGATATTTCTTGAACCTTCTTAACCGAGAAATATTTCGTCTTTTTTTAGTGAGAAGTTATTTCATTAATCAGGAATTCAACATGGTGGACATAGCAACTAAGTCATGCAAGATAGAAGAAATAGCTTCTTATAGATTAACTGAATTGAGTAATTTAATAATTATTTGAAGTTGTAATCCCAATATTGGACAATTTACAATTTACCAATTCTTGAAGAACACGAAAAATATTTGGCACTCAGAATAATTTTGCTTTCTATTCTCTAAAGGTATTTTTTTCCTAATAATTTAAAAGACAGAGTGAAATAAAATCAGTTTTTGAAATACCGTACATACTTTTGTATCATGCGACTTTCAAAGAGCTAAATTAGAAGCTAATTTGACGAGGGTAAATGGATATATATATAGTTTCATCAGCAGAGCAGCCAGATACACCAGTATATATGCTAATTTTATATCTTGTGTATGATGCGACCACCTAAAAATTAGCTTAAAAATTAGGCGGTCATATGTCGCATGATACAGGAGTATACATGGTAGCTAAAAAGTGTGTTTCAGTTGATTCTAAAAATAACCATTTTAACTGACTCTTGTCAAGGTTGGCAATGAAAGTCACATCTTTTTACTCTTACAAGTTTGGTACATTCAGTTTTGCACTGATGCTTTTGAGAAAGCTATGAATCCATGTTTTTTTAATTGTACCAAGTGAAGACTTGATTTTCTAGCCTTCAGTGGCAAACAATCAAAAAAGAATATATGCTAATCATGAGAGAAGGTGCCGAAAAGTTATACAGTTCAAGATGAACCAGTATGTCAGTTCTTCAAGACTGGAGAAAACAAGTGAAAGAAGATATGCAAGCTTAAAGTTAACAGGTAAGTAAGAAAGCCAAAGAAAAATGAACAACAAAAGCATGGGAAATGAAAAGGGGCAAATGATGGAGATGAAAGAGAGGAATAGTAGCGGGTAAGTAAGGATGCCCAAGGAAAATGAACAAGCAAAGTGTGGGAAATGAAAAGGGGCAAATGATGGAGATGAAAGAGAGGAATAGTAGCGGGAAAGTAAGGATGCCCAAGGAAAATGAACAATCAAAGTGTGGGAAATGAAATGGAGCAAATGATGGAGATGAAAGAGAGGAATAGTAGCGGGTAAGTAAGGATGCCCAAAGTGGGAAATGAAAAGGGCAAATGAAATGAAAAAGCAAAGGGGTTAAGTAAGGATGAAAAGTGTGGGGAAAAAAATGATGGAGATGAAAGAGAGGAATAGTAGCAGTTAAGTAAGGATGCCAAAGGAAAATGAACAAGCAAAGTGTGGGAAATGAAAAGGCAAATAATGGAGATGAAAGAGAGGAATAGTAGCGGTTAAGTAAGGATGGAAAAATGAACCAAAGTGTGGGAAAAGGGGCAAATGAACAAGCAAAATTAAAGGGGTAATGAATGAAAATGGGCAAATGGGAAATGGAAAGGGGAAAATGATGGAGATATTAGAGGGTAAGTAATGATGCCCATGGAAAATGAACAAGCAAAGTGTGGGAAATGAAAAGGAGCAAATGATGGAAATGAAAGAGAAGAATACTAGCGGTTAAGTAAGGATGCCAAGTAAAATGAACAAGCAAAGTGTGGGAAATGAAAAGGGGCAAATGATGGAGATGAAAGAGAGGAATAGTAGTGGGTAAGTAAGGATGCCAAAGGAAAATGAAAAAGCAAAGTGTGGGAAATGAAAAGGGGCAAATGATGGAGATGAAAGAGAGGAATAGTAGCGGGTAAGTAAGGATGCCCATTGAAAATGAACAAAGCAAAAGTGTGGGAAATGAAATGGGGCAAATGATGGAGATGAAAGAGGAATAGTAGTGGGTAAGTAAGGATGCCCAAATAAAATGAACAAAGCAAAGTGTGGGAAATGAAATGGAGCAAATGATGGAAATGAAAAAGAGAGGAATAGTAAGGGTAAGTAAGGATGCCAAAGGAAAATGAAAAAAAAGCAAAAGTGAGGGAAATGAAAAGGGGCAAATGATGGAAATGAAAGAGAGGAATAGTAGTGGGTAAGTAATGATGCCCATGGAAAATGAACAAGCAAAGTGTGGGAAATGAAAAGGGGCAAATGATGGAGATGAAAGAGAGGAATAGTAGCGGGTAAGTAAGGATGCCCAAGGAAAATGAACAAGCAAAGTGTGGGAAATGAAAAGTAGCAAATGATGGAAATGAAAGAGAGGAATACTAGCGGTTAAGTAAGGATGCCCAAGGAAAATGAACAAGCAAAGTGTGGGAAATGAAAAGGGGCAAATGATGGAGATGAAAGAGAGGAATAGTAGTGGGTAAGTAAGGATGCCAAAGGAAAATGAAAAAGCAAAGTGGGAAATGGGAAATGAGATGAAAGGGAGCAAATAGATGGAGATGCCCATTGAAAATGAACAAAGCAAAGTGAGGAAATGAAAAGGCAAATGATGGAGATGAAAGAGAAATAGTATGGGTAAGTAATGATGCCCATGGAAAATGAACAAGCAAAGTGTGGGAAATGAAAAGGGCAAATGATGGAGATGAAAAGAGAGGAATAGTAGTGGGTAAGTAAGGATGCCCATGGAAAATGAACAAGCAAAGTGTGGGAAATGAAAAGGGGCAAATGATGGAGATGAAAGAGAGGAATAGTAGTGGTTAAGTAAGGATGCCCATTGAAAATGAAAATGGAAATGAAAAGGAGCAAATGATGAAATGAAAGAGAGGAATACTAAAAAGGATGCCCATTGAAAATGAAATGATGGAAATGAAAAGGGCAATGATGGAGATGAAAGAGAGGTAAGTGGTTAAGTAAGGATGCCCATTGAAAATGAACAAGCAAAGTGTGGGAAATGAAAAGGGCAAATGATGGAAATGAAAGAAAGGAATAGTAGTGGGTAAGTAAGGATGCCCATGGAAAATGAACAAGCAAAGTGGGAAATGAAAAGGGGCAAATGATGGAGATGAAAGAGAGGAATAGTAGTGGGTAAGTAAGGATGCCAAAGGAAAATGAACAAGCAAAGTGTGGGAAATGAAAAGGCAAATGATGGAGATGAAAAAGAGGAATAAAAGTAAGGATGGAAAATGAAATGCAAAGTGTGGGGAAATGAAAAGGGCAAATGATGGAGATGAAAGAGAGGAATAGTATAAGGATGCCCATTGAAAATGAACAAGCAAAAGTGTGGGAAATGAAAAGGGGCAAATGATGGAGATGAAAGAGAGGAATACTAGGGTTAAGTAAGGATGCCCAAGGAAAATGAACAAGAAAAGTGTGGGAAATGAAAAGGGGCAAATGATGGAAATGAAAGAGAGGAATAGTAGTGGGTAAGGATGCCCAAGGAAATGAACAAACAAAGGAAATGCCCATGATGGAGATGAAAATGAAAAAAGGGCAAGTAATGATGTAAGGATGGAAAATAGGGAAAGCAAAAGTGGGGCAAATGATGGAGATGAAATGAAAGAGAGGAATAGTAGTGGGTAAGTAAGGATGCCAAAGGAAAATGAAAAAGCAAAGTGTGGGAAATGAAAAGGGGCAAATGATGGAGATGAAAGAGAGGAATAGTAGTGGGTAAGTAAGGATGCCCAAGGAAAATGAACAAGCAAAGTGTGGGAAATGAAAAGGGGCAAATGATGGAGATGAAAGAGAGGAATAGTAGTGGGTAAGTAAGGATGCCCATGGAAAATGAACAAGCAAAGTGTGGGAAATGAAAAGGGGCAAATGATGGAAATGAAAGAGAGGAATAGTGGGTAAGTAAGGATGAGGAAATGAAAAAGTAAAAGGGAAATGAAAGGCAAATGATGGAGATGAAAGAGAGGAATAGTAGCGGGGTAAGTAAGGATGCTAAAGGAAAAATGAAAAAGTAAAAGTGTGGGAAATGAAAAGGGGCAAATGATGGAGATGAAAAGAGGAATAGTAGTGGGTAAGTAAGGATGCCCAAGGAAAATGAAAAGCAAAGTGTGGGAAATGAAATGGGGCAAATGATGGAGATGAAAGAGAGGAATAGTAAGGGGTAAGTAAGGATGCCCATTGAAAATGAACAAGCAAAGTGTGGGAAATGAAATGGAGCAAATGATGGAAATGAAAGAGAGGAATAATAAGTAAGGATGCCAAAGGGGCAAAGTGAGGGAAATGAAAAGGGCAAATGATGTAAATGAAAGATGAATAGTAGTGGGTAAGTAAGGATGCCAAAGGAAAATGAAAAAAAGCAAAGTGTGGGAAATGAAAAGGGGCAAATAATGGAGATGAAAGAGGAATAGTAGTGGGTAAGTAAGGATGCTCAAGGAAAATGAAAAGCAAAGTGTGGGAAATGAAAAGGGGCAAATGATGGAGATGAAAGAGAGGAATAGTAGTGGGTAAGTAAGGATGCCCATGGAAATGAACAAGCAAAGTGTGGAAAATGAAAAGGGCAAATGATGGAGATGAAAAGAGGAATAGTAGCGGGTAAGTAAGGATGCCAAAGGAAAATGAAAAAGCAAAGTGTGGGAAATGAAAAGGGCAAATGATGGAGATGAAAGAGAGGAATACTAGCGGTTAAGTAAGGATGCCCAAGGAAAATGAACAAGCAAAGTGTGGGAAATGAAAAGGGGCAAATGATGGAGATGAAAGAGAGGAATAGTAGTGGGTAAGTAAGGATGCCCATGGAAAATGAACAAGCAAAGTGTGGGAAATGAAAAGGGGCAAATGATGGAGATGATAAAGAGGAATAGTAGTGGGTAAGTAAGGATGCTCATGGAAAATGAACAAGCAAAGTGTGGGAAATGAAAAGGGGCAAATGATGGAGATGAAAGAGAGGAATAGTAGCGGGTAAGTAAGGATGCCCAAGGAAAATGAAAAAGCAAAGTGTGGGAAATGAAAAGGGGCAAATGATGGAGATGAAAGAGAGGAATAGTGGGCAAGTAAGGATGCCCAAGGAAAATGAACAATCAAAAGGGGAAATGAAAACAAATGATGGAGATGAAAGAGAGGGAAATGAAAAGGAAAATGAAATGATGGAAATGAAAAGGGGCAAATGATGGAGATGAATAGTAGTGGGTAAGTAAGGATGCCCATGGAAAATGAACAAGCAAAAGTGTGGGAAATGAAAAGGGGCAAATGATGGAGATGAAAGAGAGGAATAGTAGCGGGTAGGTAAGGATGCCCAAGGAAAATGAACAAGCAAAGTGGGAAATGAAAAGGGCAAATGATGGAGATGAAAGAGAGGAAAATGCCCAAGGAAAATGAACAAAGCAAAGTGTGGGAAATGAAAAGGGCAAATGATGGAGATGAAAAGAGAGGAAAGTAGTGGGTAAAGTAAGGATGCCCAAGGAAAATGAACAAGCAAAGTGTGGGAAATGAAAAGGGGCAAATGATGGAGATGAAAAGAGGAATTGAGCGGGAAGAAAGGATGGAAAGGAAAATGAACAAGAAAAGTGTGGGAAAAACGAGGCAAATGATGGAGATGAAATAGGAAATAGTAAGGAGCTGAAGAAGAAAAGGCGGGAAAAGTAAGGAATGAAATAGGGAAATAGAAATATAAAAAAAAAAAAATTAAAGTGAGCAAAATGAAAATGGACAAGTGATGGAGATGAAAGAGTGTAAATGTAGTGGAAAAGCAAGAAAACCAAAGGAATATGAAAAAGACATCCGAGTAAAATGAAAGCGTATAAGTAATGTATTTGTCTTTTTGCGTAATGGTTATTGGCTCAGAATTTTAAATCGGAGAGCCTAGTTAAAATTCTGGTCAGTTTTGTTGCATTCACTTACACACAAATACCCTACATCTCTTCTCCCTCCAAGTATGTGTTGAATCATAGAACAGACTGAGTTCTTTTGCCTTGGTTGGCAGCCAATCTACCACAGAAATAATTGGCAATCTCCTGCAGGATAATTTACAAACGCTCTCTTCCAACTTACCTTGAGCAAACATGGAAAAGTAAGCTCAAGAAATTAATATAGTAAATTAGATAGTAAATCAAAAATTAGAAGGTAAATAAGAGAGGGTAAATTAAAAATTAGAGGGTTGTGGTGTGCTGCTCAGATTTGTTTTAAAATTGTTAATGAGGTTGTTAGTAGGGCTGCGTTTTTAGTGAGAGCACATACATTTAAATTTGCAAAGAACACAAGGAAAGAAGAACAAAAGATCAAATTGCATTCAACAATAAAATATATATTGAAAATCAACGAATACAACAATTGTGCTTATGTATTAATATTTAGGGAGAGAAAAGTAGCTTCCCTTGTACTGATATCTGATACAAGATAGGAATAATGTACTTAAGAACTTTCTTGTTGAAATGTTCAGAGTTCAGTGAAGAAGATTTGAATTCAAGAATGAAAAGTTTGTACAAAAAGGATAATACAATTTGGTTTATGACTTGGCTTGTGACAGACAGTTAACAGTGTAGTGTAATGGTAGTTCTGTGTCTGTGTGTGCGTGAGTAGAAGAATGTAGATACGGGTGCGTTGCTGAGTTCTGCTGATTTATTGTTCTACTAATTTATTTCTGGAGTACGAACTATTTAAATACCTTTTGGGTAGGCTCCAGAGAGAAGCGGGAAAAATATCGAAAGGAATATCTAAAATACACGATTGGATAAAAATTGACCAATCACTGATTTTTTTACAAAACCAAGTTAGGCAAAGTCATGGCAGAAAATTTCGTGTGGTTACTGCGATAGGTAAATTGTCATGTAGTAAACAGTACTTATTTTCTATCCAATTATAACTGAGTATTTCGTGGGCGTGGTAAATTAGGGTGAATAAGAGAGGGTAAATTAAAAATTAGAAGCTAAATAAGAGAGCTAGATAAAAATTAAAAAGTGAGGGGGCGGAGATAAAGATGAAAATGAAACTTCTGGGAGTAATTGTTGAAATAAATTATATTTCGTTTTGGGCGCTATTTTTCGTTTTCTGTTGTATGACTTTTCAAAAATCTATAAAAAGTTTCGGTCTCTGAGGATAATTAAAGAAATGTAAGGGAGATAATCCTGTATTTCTCATGTAAAAATTGTTCAGCACACGAGACTTTAAACCAGTGGTTCTCAAACTGGAGGCACATGGCTCCATGTAACATTACTTGGGGTCCACACACACACACACACACACAAAAGAAAAAAAAATAGTAAATTGGGGGTCCACAGTACTATTTTCATAGTCCATAGAGCAATTTCATTTCTGAATAGTTGTTACAACTATGAACTGAAATTTCTACAGTAATCTACGCCATATTAAAATACTAAAAATTGCAAAAGAACATTAAAACTAGTAGAAAACAAGATCAAGTGATGTAAGATAGCATCCTTTTTAATCTACCGGATTTTTCGATTGTGAATGTTGAATAAAAACTGAGAAGGATATATAAACTATATCTTTATTCTCTTTATGTGCAAAAATTTGATCATCTCTCTCTTTCTATCATAAACCCTTCAGGATGTAAGCTTTCATAGTTCACCACAGCTTCCTGTCCTCAAATCTTAATAGCATGATCTATTTTTTTTAAATTTTCACATTTTTTTTTTATTAGTACTGACAACCATTGTTATTAATTTTAATTAGTATTTACTTTTATTTTAAGTTTTTAGTTGCCTTTTTATCACTAATTTACTCAGGCCACCAGTCTACATTAATCGGTCGACAGTGCAGATCAGAAGTAAAGAAATTGAAAGTTTATTCTTATTTCTGATTTATTCTATTTACTGTTGTAGATTAAGGGTCTGAGTAAATCGTAATGGTAATATTAGCTGCTTCCTTATAAGGAAACATTTGGCATTCATTGACCAAGCAATACTGCTGTTGGTTGAAATTTATCAAAGCATTTTCTTAAAACAAATTTCTCAAGTCTACTAGCTGCTATCACTCTTTCAATTATTACAAACTTATCACAATGAAACATCAGTTCTTGTATGATCACCAAAATTAAGCAACATCGAACTTGGTCAGTACCTTGATGGGTGACAGCTTGGGAATACCTAGTACTGTGAGCTTGGATGTGCAGGTGGTGCAATGGATAATGACTGGGAATTGTGAATTGGAGATTTGAGTTCCAATTCCCATTGGATTTGTTATATTCACTTACAAGCAAATACCCTTATGAATTCACCTCTTTTCCTCCCAGCTATGGGTTAATTAGTAAAACTTTTTTCCACTGAACCATTATCTCAAAAAAAATATTCTTACAATCAAAAAGTATTTTCTGGCTTTAAATAACCTGTAAAGGGTTGATTAGCTGTAGAAAACAAATCAATAAAGCAATCATGTTTCTCCACAGCTTCCTGCTTGAAATTCTTAATATAACAGTAACAGCATGATGTTATTTTTTAATCTTTTTAAATGTTTTTATTAGTTAAAACCATTGCTATTAATTTTAATTAGCATTTATTTTTATATTTTACCTGCCCTTTTTTTTCACTATTTTATTCAGGACATCAGTCTACATCAGTGTATGGACAGTGCGGATCAGAAATAAAGAAATTGTGAGTTTATCTTTTATTTCTGATTTGTCTTGTCTATTTACTGCTGTAGATTAAAGGCCTAAGTAAAAGTTGATCAAAAGCAACTAAAAAAGATTAAGATAAAATTGAATACTAGTGAACATAATTATTACAGCACACAACTATCCAGACACCTTGGGGGAGAGGTTAAAAAATATGTTCGATATTTCATATACTTATATTATAAAAAAAAAATTAAGAAAAAGTCATTTTCTGAAAGAAATTTAACATTTATTGTAATGATATGTAACTGACTGCTTTAGCATAACTAAGTCATAGACTATATAAATAAGTAAGCAGTAAGGATAGAGAGGTTCTCAGTATACAAGATAACCAACTATTGTTAAACATCCTATTTTACAAAGGAAATCCTACTTCATAACATTTCTATCATCAAAATTTCAAAAGAATAAATTTAAAATTTTTCAAAATTTCAAAAAAAAAAAAAAAAAAATTTTTTTAATTTTTCAAACTTTCAAAAAAAATAATTTAAACAGTTTTCAAAATTAAAAAAAAAAAAAATTTTAAATTTTTCACACTTTCAAAAAAATAATTTAAATATTTTTCAAAATTTCAAATCTTATTTTCAAATAACATTTCAAAATGTTTTCTTCAATTTTTTGTCCAGTTTATGAAAAAATGTGTAAATTTTTGGTTTTCCATCTAGTCTTCAGTTTTTCTGCTGTTAACTCCTGAAGCTGGTTTAAAATAGAAAATGTTTTTAAAGGGGACAGCATCAAAGAGTGTGTCAAATCCTGTTGGCATTCTGATATTCTTTAAAAAAAGAACCAGAAGAAGAAACTTCACTTTCCAGGACCAGCGACTGTTGTAAAATTGATTCTAAAAAGGCCTCAAAAATTGACAAAGACAACAAACCTGGACCAAGACGGCTCCATCTATCAGCAGCAGCAGTTCCAGCTAGCTGTCATCATCAGTCACAGCTCCAGCTTATCATCAGCCACCACTCCAGCCAGCCATCTCCAGCAGGCCTTCAACTTCAGCCAGCCAGCTATTCTCCGGCAGGCCTTCAGCTCCAGCCAGACATTTTCTAGCAGGCCTTCAGCCCCAACCAAACATTCTCTAGCAGGCCTTCAGCCCCAGCCAGCCATTCTCCAGCAGGCCTTCAGCTCCAGCCAGCCAGCTATTCTCCAGTAGGCCTTCAGCTCCAGACATTCTCTAGCAGGCCCTCAGCTTCAACCCGACATTCTCTAGCGGTCCTTCAGCTCCAGCTAGCCTGCCATCCTTGTCAGCAGCAACAATATGCAACACTCTGTCCCTTTCAGGACAATACCTTTCAATGACTACAAAACTGTTCCTTCTCAGGACAACACTCTTCTCACCCTCTACACAAACATGCAAAGATAATCTTTTGCCTAGTAACAAATATAAACTTGGCAATATATTATTTCACCAGAGTCTTCATTTTATCTATTGTTGTCTTCTGTCATTCAATGTGGGCTTTGTGGGCTAATATGCCACCTGCAACAAATGGACAGAGATGACAATGCAGGAAATCCTGAGGGACACTGCCAACAGATTATCCTAGAGAAGGTTGTCTCTTTCTTCTGTCTTTAGGTCCCCTCCCCACCCACCGATAATTGAAGCAGTAAAGGAACTGATGATGGTGATGATTAGTAAAGGCAGCTTCTGGTTGAAAAAGCACAACCACTTAAACATTTGTCAAATATAATCGTTGCTTTGGTGTTTGAAATTGGGGTTGTTGAACCTTGGCATGTACAATTTCATTATCATCAATGTTTTCCTTGCATCATTTAGGTATTTATACCAGGGAACATCTGCACTGAACTTGTCATTTATTTCTGCTGTATTTACATTGATGTTTTATAAAAGAAATTCTCCTGAAAAACCTGTCTGAAATTAAATATTAAAAATGGGTTTGGATAATTGAAATATAATCGGTTGATTTCAATTTTTCTCTTCATTTCATGTTCAGATAGTCAGTCTGTATAATTGAGGAATTATTTGATTGCT